GGTAGATGGCAATGAGCATTTGGAGAAGAGAAAAATCTTTGCATACAAGTAGGACCAGGGAAGGCTTCCTGGAGGAAGTGGGGCCTGGGCTGGGCTTTAAAGGATAGATGTGATTTGGACAAGCAGAGGGAAGGCAGAGGGCAGACAAAGGACATTCCAGGTAAAAGAATCGTGGGCAGGGACTAAGAAATGGGAGTGAGCAGGGATTTTGGAGGTTAGCAGGCAGACTGGACAAGTCACTTCCCCAGGTTCCCAGCAGCTAACTGCATGACCTGTGGCAGACAGAGGCAGGCCACCCACCCATCCCCACCCTGTCAGGGCCCAGGCTCTGTGTGTGGGTGTGGAGGGGGGGTCTAGGCTAAAGCCCTGGGAGAGATTTGGCAGCAAGGGTATCTCTAGGTCCCCTTTCAAGCTAGGGGTGGTAGAGGAGCATCCTGGACCAGATGCCCTCCCTGACATTTCAGATTGACAGTGGACACCCAAATGAACAGTGACAGCCAAGAGCACAACCAGGGCCAGCAGAAATCAGGCTGCAGGCAGAAAAGACCCCTAGGCAAAGGCATTCTGAAGGGTTTAGGGTCAGGACACTTCAGTCTTCAGGACCCAACTTCAAATAAGTGTTTCAACAAACTCCCCTAGGCACTAGGCTATGGCCCTGCCTTCACCTGGATTCTCACAGTGAGGCCCCAGCAGGCCCCCAAACTTGACCCAAGGGGCCTTGTTCCAAAGCCCACGGGCTCCTCCCCCAGAAGGAGGAAAAAGGGGCGTGGCCTTTGGGGACCTGGGTAGGCCCAGGGCTCCCAGCCTGGGTATGTCAGGATTTGCCCCTCCTCCTTCCGGTCCCTCCTCCACTCCAGGGACTGCCAACTCCTTCCACACGCCCCTTCTGGGGCTCCCTTGCCACCCCACCCCACACCGCAGCCTCAAGATCCCTCTCTTTGGGGTCTTGAGGCCGGCCCAATATACCCACTATACCCAGCCCAGCTGCCCCAACTCCTCTGGGTCCCCTAACCCCACTCCACCCCCACCCCAAGAAAACCAAGCTCGGCTTGCCTCGTTCTCTCCACGCACCCACCCAAGCACCCCCTTGGCGCTGCGCCATTCCCCACATTCATTCTCTTCCTGTTCTCATGAACACAATCCCTGTCCCTCTTTCTGAAATACTTCCCCTATTGCCCTCACTTTCTCACAGAACGGCAAACAAAGACTCACATACCCAGAAATAGCCTTGCACAGAGCTGAAAGGCACAGGCCACGTCCTGCCACACACGCAGGCGCGCGCACGGAGGCTGTCGTGGAGGGAGGCACACAGACAGGGCGTCTGTCTGCACGCACATAAGCTGACACACCACAAAAGGGCGCGGACACACACGGCGTGTGAGACAAGGGCACACACAGCTGTGGACGCAGGGCCACGCCGCCGCCCGGGCACACCCACCGCCGCCGGCCCTGGGCAGGCGCGAGGCCTCGCGGGCCGGGCTCCCCCGGTTCCTGCCAGCGAATGTTTCCCTGCTCGGCCTGCCAGGTCTCTGGGGAAAGGGCCTCAGAAATGCTGCAGGAGCCCGCTGGGGGAAAAGTTGGAACTGACTGTTCCCTGCCTGGCGCGGCCGGCGAATTCCCTGACGGAGAAACTATTTGTGGCGAGAGCCGGTGGCCGGCGACCCCCCGCCGCCTCCCCTGGCGTCCCCTCCTCGCGCCGCCTCCCGCGGGCCTCGGCGGCTTCGGGCTGCAGCACTGCTGCCCAGCGCCCGCGGCCGGGCTGGTCGGCGCGCCTCGCCGCTTATCTGCGCTGTTTGGACAGCGGGCTTGGAAAGGCAGGCGGCCCCGTCCCCGCCGAGTCAACAGGCAGACCCCGGGCCGCCGGACTATTTCTGTCTTATCAGTGCAGGAATGCGGCAGCCGCGGCCGCGGCGGCGGCGGCGGGCGGGCGGCGGCGGCGTGGGCCGTGGGCCGTCAGGGCAGCCCTGAAGGGGCCCCCTCCCCACTCCGCTCGAGTAGAAGTGTGAGAGAGCCCAGCAGGACTCAGAGGGGAGAGTTGGAGGAAAAAAAAAGGCAGAAAAGGGAAAGAAAGAGGAAGAGAGAGAGAGAGTGAGAGGAGCCGCTGAGCCCACCCCGATGGCCGCGGACGAAGTTGCCGGAGGGGCGCGCAAAGCCACGAAAAGCAAACTTTTTGAGTTTCTGGTCCATGGGGTGGTGAGTGGGGGAAAGTTAGAGGGGGAGGGCGAGCGAGCTGGCTCGGGCTGAATGGAGGGCTGATCGGGAGGGGCCGGGAGGGCACTCCCGCTCTCCCACCCCTCTAGTGGGGGGCGCCATGGCCCACGGCCCGGCTCCGGGACTGTGCTGGCGCCCTGGCACCCGAACACGTCGCCAGGCGGCCGGCCGGGTCTGGTGCGAGGCGGGGAAGGGAGGCGTTTGCATGGCTCTTGTCAGGGGCGGGGGTGAGACTTGGGGACTCTCCCCCCCAAGTGGGGAGTCCTCGCTGTAGCCGACAGGTTGACTTTCGTTCTTTTCCTTGTGGGCCCAGGTGTTGCCCCTGCCCTGGGGGTGGGGGTGGGGGATGGGGACATGGCAGAGGCTGGGCTGGGCTGTCTGTTCATCCGTTGGGACAGTGTCACTGCTTGTGTCTCCGGAGCAAGGAGCAGGTGACCCTGGAGGCACTGTAGTGGGAAGCTCGCAGGCTGAGCCACCTCTGCATCTCAGCGGGAGGGCTCTGGAGCTTCTGCCTCAGGGTCGGGGAGAGGCCCGCTCTAGGGACTTAGCCCAAGTTAGGGGTTCTGAGGGTCCCCTTGGCGGACTCAGCCACCAGAAGCTGATGTCCTTAACTCCTCGAAGGTGTGAAGGAAGGGCTGGAGTTGGGGATGTGAGGCCTAGAGACCGAAGGGACAGGGGAGCACTGTCCTGCCACAGGCAGGCTGCAAAGGCACGTGGGAGCCCGGGAGGCTGGAGCTGAGTCAGTAGGGCCTGGCTGGGAGGGGTGTGGAGGGGTGTGGAATGGGAGAGGCAGGGGCTGTGACTCTTGAGATGGGTGAGGGGGTGGAGGCCCTGTGTAGAAGAAGCTGTCAGGTTTACTATGGCCAAATTTGGTTGTGACCCCAAGGAAGGCACCTTCTCAGTAAGACCAGAGTCCCTAGGATTTTGGCCTTTCATGGGGGTGGGGCTGGAGGTGGGCACAGCTCTCTGGGGGCTCTGGAAGCCTCCCTCTCAGGGCCTCTTCAGCAGAGGAGCCAGTATCCCTGGCCTTGATAACTGGGGAGAGCAGCTGACAGGAAGAGGGGGCCTCCCTGGAGTGGCCCATCCTCCAACCCCAGGGACCCCTGGGGGTAACTTCCCAAAGTGTCCATGTCAGCTAGCTGAGTTACCAATCCTAACCTGGCTGCTGGTGGGAGCCCCTTTAAAAAGGCCCATCTAGTGGGGAGAGGCTGCACACGTGGACTTTTTTTTTATCTGGCCAACTTAGAGCTTCAGTTACTGAGTGACTGTGAGCCCCAGTGCCCCATCTAGCTGGTGGCCAGGCCTGGGTTCCATTCTGGGCCGCTACCCTGGAGGCGTGAGTGACAGGGTCAGGTGGGGTGAGGGAAGCAGACACATGGACAGGCAGGTTTCACTGCAGGAGAGATAGGCAGAGACAGCTGCTGACCGAGGGTGGGAGGACATTAGGGTTAGACACAGAGCCTGGAGGGCCAGGAGGAGGTAGCAGTTGGAAGGAAAACAGCAAGCCCAAGGGGCCCCTCCTCATGCCTGGGGATGAGGTGGGTGATGTGTCCATGTTAACAGGGCCAGGGTCTGCATCCCCTGCCCTCTGATCGTCTTCCTGCTCTCGTGGTCCCAGTCCCCATCCCACCCCACTCATTCTGTTTCACAGCCCCTGAAACTCTCTCTGGCCCTCCCCATCTCCCTTCTGGAGTCTGGACAAGTGGGGTTTGGAACACTTCGCTCGATGCATTTGCATCTCATTTACACCCCATCTGACCACCCAGGGGTAGTGGCAAGGGAGGAGGAGCCGCCTCCTCTCAGTCTCCACAGCCCCCTGAACCCTGACTGCTGACCTTGCTGGGGTGGGGATGGGAAGAGGAGGAGGTGGCTGCTGACCTGGGCAGACAGGAAGGGAAATGTGAGTGGAAGTGTCACTGCCCTGACCCACCTCAGGCCCCCTGGGCAGCCCACCTCCAACGCAGCTCCCCTCCTCCCAATCAGATAATCCTGGCAGGGTCTGGGGTGCCCCCAAAGGCTGCCCTTGCCTGCCCTGCCTCCAGCCCTCACCCTGGGAGCAAATTATGAGGGCAGCTTAGACCCTGGGTCAGCGAAGACCCTGGGTGTGGGGACTTGGAGTCAGTGGAGGGGAGTGGGGTTTGGGACCGAAGGGTCAAAGCAGGGAGCAGAGTGGCTGAGATGAGGAGCTAGTGAGTGCCAGGCAGAACCGCCCAAGAAGTGAAGCCTGAGAAGGAGGAGCAGGAGGAGGAGCAGAAGTCGGAGCAGGGAGCCGGGTACCTGACTTCAACCAAGCTGCAGAGAGCAAAGCCCTGGGCCCCCAGGAGGCAGCCCTTCAGGGGCTGGCCGGGCCTGGATGAGCTGTGTGACCTTGGCGAGGTCGCTTTTCTCCTTGAGCCACAGTGGCCCCATCCGTCAAGTGGGGATGAAAGGACCTGCTCAGACTGTCTTGTAGAGGAGCATGTGGATGTGAACATCTTTGAAAGGTTGAAAGAAGCCATTAATATTCATTTTTGCGGTACCTTCCGCAGCCCCGAGGCTCGCAATGCCCTGTGCGGTGCCTGGCTTCAGTTAGCTTCCTACAGCCAGACGCCAAGCCCCTCCGCCAGAGCCGCGCGTATTCCGGCGCCCCTGCCCCTCCTACCCATCGTTCCCACCCATCGCTCAGCGCTCAGGGTCACCAGCCGAGGGTCTGGTGGGGGAGGGGAGACGCCGGCTCACCGCGCCTGGAGCTGGGGGCCCTGGTCTGACCCACGGGCGCCCGTTTCTGCTTCACCCCCGCCCACCCACAGCGCCCCGGGATGCCGTCTGGAGCCCGGATGCCCCACCAGGGGGCGCCCATGGGCCCCCCGGGCTCCCCCTACATGGGCAGCCCCGCCGTGCGACCCGGCCTGGCCCCCGCGGGCATGGAGCCCGCCCGTAAGCGAGCAGCGCCCCCGCCCGGGCAGAGCCAGGCACAGAGCCAGGGCCAGCCGGTGCCCACCGCCCCCGCGCGGAGCCGCAGGTGAGTGGGAGGCCCGGCGCGGAGGGGGCGTGCAGGGGCGGGCCCTGGGGACCCGCAGGGACCAGGTGAGAGAGTAGCGGGGATTGGAAGAGGTGAGGAAGAATGATTAGCAGGGAGCGAGGCTTCCCGGATCGGATGCCCTCTGGGGAGGTGGGCTTAGGGGGCACCGGCCTGATTCTTTTGTGTGCCCACGGTAGAGACAGGCTGTGGCCGTCGGCAGCCGGTACCGCTTCCCTGCACGCTCCCCTCACCCTTCTCCTTGTCACCTGCTCAGTCCCTCTCTCCACCCATCAGGTTCTGGGTGATGCTTCAGTCTTTGGGTTGGGGGCGGGGCTTCCAGTGGGACTGAGGGCAGAGCTGTAGGACTGTGTTGCCCAAAGTGTAGTTCTCCGCTGAGCCTTCCTGCCAGACCCCGGACTGTTTCAAAGCCACTCCAGATTTTCTCAATGGGACTCTCTTGCCCTGGGGGTGGAGCTTGGGGATTTGCCCTGTGGTAGGTGGTCTCTGCCCAGTTCCGCTCTTAATTCTTAGGCACTCTGGACCAGGTCTGCTCCCAAGCCACCAGGGCCAGCCCATTGCCTTATTTTCCTCCAGCAGCTGGTGGCACCCTCAAAGCCCCTGCTGGCTCCTGGCAACAGCAGTGCCCCTCTGGATTTCAGTATTTAGCCAAATACACATGCTTTTTTTGCACAACAGATGGATTTCTATAAAAGGTGTAATATCAATTTTACCTCATTATTAAGTATTTTTTACACATCAGGGAAAATTCACCACTTATAGGAATCCCATGATGAATTATTTTGTAAAGTGCATCGTCATTTTGTACAGCAAACGGTAATTCCCTGATTTATCTTGTATAAATGGAGAGTTACACAAAGATAATCTGTCTAAAACAAACCAGACCTTTAATGAAATCTGCTTGTTAGCCTTAGATTTCTGCATAGGGAGGGGGTAGTGGTTGAGAACACCACACGGGGGCAGTATGGAGCTATTCTCTAGGCTGCGTTTCCATCTCTTGACCCGCCAAGGTTTTTCTGGGGGTTTTTGGGTTAGTCAGCAGCAGCTAGTGGGTCAGAAAGAGCTCACATCCAGCTGCTACTACCCTGGGCCTAGTCAATTTGGCCTCAGCCTGAAGTCACACCCATGCACATTCTGGGCGCCTATGGCTGCAGCATGTCCCTCACCTTGTTGCCAGGTAGTCCCAGGGCATGAGTACCCCTGCTCATCAGCATTCTCTTGCAAGCCCAGAGTGCCTGGAAGGGATGCAAGTCCCGCCAGCTTCACACCATCACCTCCCGCTCCATGGATAGGAAGGAAGTCGTCTATCTCCCTCCCTCTGAGCTTAGAATCCTTTGGACAGGGCACCCCCTGCTTTCCAGAAAAGGTCCTCAGACCTGGCTTCCCTCTCCTTTGTCCTCCCTCATCCCCACCTTTCCTCAAACACTTCTGCAGCTCCCATCTTTTGGCAGCACCACCCCCACTCGCCAGTCCCTCCTAAGTCTAAATTTCTCTGTCCCTAAGGATGTGGCAGGTTAGAAGGGGGCTCCCAGGCCAGAGAATGGACGGGTCACCCGTGTCCTTAGAGAGGACAGACCACCAGTTCCACACACCACCGTCATAGCCCTTGGGCGGGCAGACAAGCGGGCTGTGGGAACCCCAGCCAGGCGGGCGGAGATGTCGGGATAATTTAGCAGGTGGCCTCGTTACTCCCAGATCTGTCGCCATGGTAACCTGGTTTTTTCTTTAAAAAATGTACAGTGCCAAGAGGAGGAAGATGGCTGACAAAATCCTCCCTCAAAGGGTGAGTGTCTTTCACAGCAGCCCCCAGCCCACCCCCTACCCTTTGCTGCTCTGCCCTCCCCTCCCCCCTCAAAAGCAGAGCTTCAGTGTCACAGTCACTTTCACTTTTTGTTTAAAAAAACTCATTAATAAGTGAGGCTCCCTAGGCCAGAGGGAGGGGGTGAGGTGGAGGGAAGCAGCAGAGCCACTGGGGCCAGAACACAGGGGCCTGTCAGGGGGCTGGATCCAAGTGGTACTAAGACAGAGTTGTGGGACAAGAAGGGGGCAAGAGCTAGGGGATCAAAAGCTGCCAGGCAGAATGAAGGGGATAGAAGGTGGCCAGAGATCCTGAGCATCCTAAAGGGACCCAGGTCCAGCTGGATATGGGGGACAGCACAGTTGGGACAGGTGTGGGGGCTGAGCAATGTGCCAGCAAAGAAGAAAGCACTGCTGTCCAACTGTCCCAGGGATTGAGCCCCTACTAGGCACTTTGCAGGGGCCCAGGGGAAGCCCAGTGGGCATATGACATAGAAAATGACAGGATGAGGAGACTAAAGGCTAGTGCTTTGCTGGGTTCCACAGTTGCTACCTCCTCCCCGTGATGATACACAAGGCTCTTCCTAAAGGGAGAAGCAATTGTTATCCCTACACAGCAAGGCCCCTACTGCTGGATAATGGCATCCTGGGGAGAGGTCCTGTTCCCACTGTCAAAGCTCCATGCCCAGAAGTAGGATGGCTCCCCCGACATCTTTTGCACCCTAGGATTGCACAACATGCATACATTCCATGGTACAACCCTGGACTCGAGCCTCTGACTCCTGCCCTGCTTCTCCTCCTCCAGATTCGGGAGCTGGTCCCCGAGTCCCAGGCTTACATGGACCTCTTGGCATTTGAGAGGAAACTGGATCAAACCATCATGCGGAAGCGGGTGGACATCCAGGAGGCTCTGAAGAGGCCCATGAAGGTGCCTTAGTTCGGGGGTAGGAAGGGGACTCTTGAGTCGCGTGACCAGGATGGGGAAGCAAGGTAGTCAGGGTGGAAGCACACAGCATTTGCCCGGTTCTACACTCTATTTCTACAGCAAAAGCGGAAGCTGCGTCTCTATATCTCCAACACTTTTAACCCTGCGAAGCCTGACGCTGAGGACTCCGATGGCAGCATTGCCTCCTGGGAGCTACGGGTGGAGGGGAAGCTCCTGGATGATGTACGTCCCGGCCCAGGTCTCTCCAGGTGTCCTGGGGTGGGCACGGGCTGCACTGAGAACAGAACAAAGTGTCTGCACTAAGGGCTAGGGAGTCAGCCCAGGCTGGGGAGGTGGGGGCAGGCCTAGAGACATTCCGGGTGCAGAGGATTTCATCTAAGCCCACTGCCCTGTCTGCTGCCAACTTGGCCTCCTTCTGCTTCTCCCACCCTGTCCCTGTTCTGCCCCCATGGTTCCTGTTCCTCTTCCACAGCCCAGCAAACAGAAGCGGAAGTTCTCTTCTTTCTTCAAGAGTTTGGTCATCGAGCTGGACAAAGATCTTTATGGTCCTGACAACCACCTTGTTGAGGTAAGACCAAGAGCCCCTCCGCCCTTGAATTGCCACCTTCCCACAGGCCAGAATCCCTGAAGAACGAGCACAGATTTGGGTCAGGGACCGCCCTAGAGTCCTGGGCCCCACCACTCCAGATGGGCCTTTGGGAGACACAGCTCTTCTCTCCTGGACAGTGGCATCGGACACCCACGACCCAGGAGACGGACGGCTTCCAGGTGAAACGGCCTGGGGATCTGAGTGTGCGCTGCACGCTGCTCCTCATGCTGGACTACCAGGTCTGCACCTGCCACGCTGCCCCATACACGCCACACAAGGCTCTCAGGGCAGGCCTAGGTCCCAAAGTGGTGCATCTCGAGAGACCTCCTTCCCCTCCCAACCCTATCCTTCCCCAGGGGCATGTTTCCTCAATCAACACATCCCCATAGTCCTGAATGGCCTGGCCCTGGGCTCCTTCCTTTCTCTCCCTTTGTTCTAACTTTCACGGTCCCCTTTTCTCAGCCTCCCCAGTTCAAACTGGATCCCCGCCTAGCCCGGCTGCTGGGGTTGCACACACAGAGCCGCTCAGCCATCGTCCAGGCCCTGTGGCAGTATGTGAAGACCAACAGGCTGCAGGACTCCCATGACAAGGAATACATCAATGGGGACAAGTATTTCCAGCAGGTAACCTCTCTACTGAACCCTGGGATCTGGGGAGCAGGCAGAGTTCTCCAGCAGGGGAAGTACCTCTACCAAGGTAACTACCACCCCTCCCTTCTAGATTCCTGAGTAGCAGAAGCAATACACAGTCATGGTCTTGGAGCCAAGAGACCGACCAGGATTCTAGTTCAGGCCCTACTGTGGATTAGCTCTGTGCTGCAGTCAATCCATGTTAGCCCCCCCCCAAGTTAGGAAGACCTGGAAACCCTACAAAGCCAACCGCTTTCTGGAATGTAATATTCTTGGCACTTGGAGTTAGGATCCCCAGGTTCTAGTCCTGAGTCTGGACTCTGGGTAAGTGACTCAGCGATTCTGAACCTTGTTTCCTTATCTTTGAAGTGGAGTGAAAATACCTGTCCTATCTACTCTCCTGGGCAGTTAGGAAAATCAAATTGCTGCAAAGGGATTCAGCAAAATTCCACCAAAACAGAGAATATTCTTATTAATGCATTTAAAAATAAATACAGCAGATAAACCTGAGGAGTTAAAACAGCAGTTGATATTTATTGGGCACTTACCATGTGCCAGGCACTGCTCCAAGCACCTTATGTGTATTAGTTCACTGCCTTCCCACGGCAGCCCTAGGAGATGGGTATTCTTTCCATCCCCACTCTAGAGATGAGCCCTGAGGTGTTAACTTGCTCCAGGCTGCATAGTAAGCGGCAGAGGCAGGAGTGATACATACACAGGCTGACTCAGGGCCCGCACTCTCAACCCCTGCCCCACAATGACCCACCCCCTACCTTGTCAGCCGTATGGGTGGCTCCACTGCCAGACCAGCCCACCCCAATCCCATCCCCATGCGCACTAAGGAATCAGACTTCCTCTCAGCTTCTTGCAGCCTTTCTAGAACAAAAGGATCTACAACTGCGTGATGATCTCTTCAAGAAGAGTGATCTCTCTCTCCCCAATTGTCCTGCTTCAGATTTTTGATTGTCCCCGGCTGAAGTTTTCTGAGATTCCCCAGCGCCTCACAGCCCTGCTATTGCCCCCTGACCCAATTGTCATCAACCATGTCATCAGGTGAGGTGGCCCCAGCTTGCTTCTCAGACCAGGGAATGATCTCGTTCCTGCCTTCCCTGCCCCTCCCTCTCCTCCCACTCCCATCTCTTCTCCCTCCCTGTTGGATCTGCCCCAGCCCCTGCGCCCTGGGGCCTGTATGGGGGCATCGTGGACACCAAGGGCTGGACTTCCCTGGCAGCGTGGACCCTTCAGACCAGAAGAAGACGGCGTGCTATGACATTGACGTGGAAGTAGAGGAGCCATTAAAGGGACAGATGAGCAGCTTCCTCCTGTCCACGGCCAACCAGCAGGAGATCAGTGCTCTGGACAGTAAGGTGGGGCCCAAGCCCAGAGCCGGAGTGGGATATTAACCCAGAGATGATAGAGGAGACTTTTCTGAGACCAGGGTGTGGCTGCAGATGAGCAGTCTGGGTTAAATTAAAAAATTAAAAAAAAAAAAAAAAAAAAGAGAGACCAGACTGTGGGCCAATGGGGCACAAATGGCCCTCCATGCTGCTTGGAGTTGAACCTCATTCCAAGTTTAGTTCTGCCCATCCCCTCCGCCCCTGGGACTTCAGAGGAATCAGGGGCTCTGAGGGGTTGTCCTTCACAGGTCTCCCCTTCCCTCCCACTTCCTTTTCCCTCCTCTCCCACATCACCACAGCCAGGTGGAAAGCATCTATCTTTCTACCTGCAGATCCATGAGACGATTGAGTCCATAAACCAGCTCAAGATCCAGAGGGACTTCATGCTAAGCTTCTCCAGAGACCCCAAAGGCTATGTCCAAGACCTGCTCCGCTCCCAGAGCCGGGACCTCAAGGTGAAGAGGGAGACTCAGGGAGTACTGGAGTGGAAGACAAGCACATCGGGAAAGACAGTAAACGTTGTACTCCAGGGGCAGGTGAGGGGATTCGGGGCTCAGGGCTCACCCCACGCTCCCTCCCAGGTGATGACAGATGTAGCCGGCAACCCCGAAGAGGAGCGCCGGGCTGAGTTCTACCACCAGCCCTGGTCCCAGGAGGCTGTCAGTCGCTACTTCTACTGCAAGGTATGGAGGGACCCTTGCCCTAAGGCTTCCCCCTCCTCAACTCCAAGAGAAACCTCCCTGTTCAGCTTGTGGGCAGCCCTCACAGCTCCCTACAGTAAAGCTTCACCATACCGCCTCACCATGCAATGGCCCTCCCTGCTCCCAGATGCTCTTCCATGGCAGGCGGTGTCAGTAGGGGGGGGTTGTCCTGATCACTCACCAGGAACACTGACACCTGCTCCTGTTCTCACTTCCTCTAAAGATCCAGCAGCGCAGGCAGGAGCTGGAGCAGTCGCTGGTTGTGCGCAATACCTAGGAGCCCAGAAATAAGCAGCACGAGGGAACTTCCGGCCGTGCCCCGGGCCCCAGTGCTTTGCCCTGGGCTCCAGCATCACTCCTCTGCCACCTTGGGGTGCGGGGCTAGATTAAAAGTCATTCATCTGACAGCAGCCGCGTGGTCATTGGAAACTGGGGAGGGTGGGGGATGAAGGGGGAGGGAAGGGGGAGGGAAGAGGGTGAGGAGACAGTGGGTCCTTTTGGACAAACTCCCCATACCCTTCCCTTGGATTCTCCTCACTCAATTTTCCCTAGACCTAAAAAACAGTTTGGCAGAAGACACGTTTAATAACATTTTCATATTTTAAAAATACAGTGACAATTCTCTATCTGTCCACCATCTTGCCTTGCCCTTCCTGGGGCTGAGGCAGACAAAGGAAAGGTAAGGAGGTTAGGGCCCCGAGGCAGGCTAAGTGCTGTTGGCCTGCTCCTGCTCAAAGAGAGCCATGGCCAGCTGGGCACGGCCCCCCAGCCCCTCCAGGTTGCTGAGGCGGCAGCGGTGGTAGAGTTCCTCACTGAGCCGTGGGCTGCAGTCCCGCAGGGAGAACTTCTGCACCAGCCCTGGCTCTACGGCCCGAAAGAGGTGGAGCCCTGAGAACCGGAGGAAAACATCCATCACCTCCAGCCCCTCCAGGGCTTCCTCCTCTTCCTGGCCTGCCAGTTCACCTGCCAGCCGGGCTCGGGCCGCCAGGTAGTCAGCATTGTAGAAACAGCCCTCTGCAGAAGCCTGCCGGTCAAATCTCCCCCCTATAGGAGCCCCCCGGGAGGGGTCAGCACCAGGAGGGGAGGGGGGGTCAGGGCCAGCCCCCGGGGCCCCTGGGGGTGATCTCTGTGGTGACAGGGCGGGATTGAACTCCTGGAAATGAACTGGAAAGAAGGCCTGCCAGCCAGAGATGGCATTCATGCGACAGCGGTTGAGGACTTCGGGCCCAGGCCTCGTCCACACAGTGGTGAGGAAGAAGAGAGTATCCACAGGGTGCTTCTTCGAGACCACGTCCATGAGTCGCACCTGGGAAGGGGCCTCTGCTCGCACGGCAAGCCAGGCCAGCCTCGTCCCAGGGTACCGTCGCTCTAACTCAGCTGCTGCAGCCTTCACCCCAAGAAATGGGTCTGGAGCTCCACGGCCACTTTCTCGTGGCCCGTAGACCAGCAACAGAGTGAGCAACGCATGTTCTCGTGGCTCCAGGACATTGGCTGCAAAGGCCTCGAGGAAAGCCGGGGCTGCAGCAGCTTCAGCCACCAGGAGCGGCAGCACCAGCTGCACTCGGGTGGCCTCAGTGACATAGGGCATAGGTAGGATTTCCACCCGGCTCAGTGGCCGCAGTAGGCTGACCCTGCGAGCCAGGGCCCGCCGGTGCCCACGCTGTGTCACACATTCCAATAGCAGGTCCAGGGTGTACTCCATGCCCCGTGCTGGGTCGAAGCGCCGGTAGCCGTTGAGCAGTCGCTGCTTCTGGAAGCGCAGGCGGGGCTGATAGCGCCGATTGAGCTGCTCCAAGGCAGTCTCCAACGCATCACCCACGTCCGCCCTGCTAGCCCCCTGCAGCGGACACTTGGGAGCCCCATCTGCACAGGAGAAGGTGTGCTGCTCTGTGAAGTAGTCCCAGCCCAGCACCTCAAAGCGAGAGTGCGGTATGAAAGGAGCAGGGAGCCCAACGGGCCAGCTCAGCCCTGCCTCCCCTTCGGGGGTCAGCACGGTCAGGTTCCGGATCTGAGCCTGGGTTGGAGGGAATGCGCCTCAAGTTAGTGCGAGCTCCAGCTGCCTGGGCTGTAAGATTCAAACAGCTGAGCTCTGTCCCAACTCCATCAACACTTAGTGACGGGTCCCTCGCTAATCACTGAATCCCTTGTACATTATTCTTCACCTCTAAAATGCAAACAGACAGGAATCCTACTTGCCTTACACAAATGCCATGAGAAGGAGGTGGAAAATGTGCTTTTTGCACAGGTAAAAATATCTTGAAATAGAAGCTCAACAGCCTTTCTCTCCCATACCCAAAGGACTCACATCTTCTTCATAATCACACCCTTGTTTTCATCTATACTCCACCTCTGCCAACCCCGACATTCAACTTGAGAATTCTACCTTCCACCCTTGGGCTTTCTTGGGACAGTTCTAGAAGTTAAGAAACTTCAGAGTTTTTGCCTCCCCAGTGGACAGGCACTATTGAGGAAGAGCTAAAACTATTCTGTCTGAACACTGTGCGGAGCTTCCTGATCCTCAGAGTCTACTTGCAAACCCCTTTAGCTGCATTCAAGTTGTCCTGGGAGCCTACCTTATGATTGCTTTGGACCCCCAAAGACCTTTGTCCCTGTAGTTGTTTTAAATGTAAGTATGGTCAGCCTTTTCCTGCCCTGCCATTATACAGGGCCTAGACCAGCCCCACTGCCAGCTGCTCGCTCATTGTACGCCTGGACATCTCAGGCTCTCTCTGACCCTCTGACTGCAGTCCTCTGCCCACCTGCTCCTCTTCAGCTCACCTGCAGTTGTTCTATTTCACTGTAAGCCCGCTCCAACTCCAGAGCGCTGAAGCGTTTGTGGAGCCGGTACATGAGGGTACCTTCGGAGACAGGGTGCACGGCGAAGGCACTCAGGAAAGCCGAGCTCCCTTCCTTTTCAGGGTCCCTATTTTTGGCCAGTTCAAATGAGCGATACTGCTGCCCCTAGAGGGACAATCAGACCAATCAATGACACACACAAGAGCTGCCAGTCCCAAACCACCCTTAACCATACTCAGTGTTCACGTCTGTTAGCACTGCTGCGTTAGAACAGAGGACAGAGGAGGCACCCTTTCCAGCACCTCGCTTAACCCCAGCTCTTTCACTGCCCACATTTTGGAAAGTAGAAAGTAAGTAGGCAACTAAGGACACTCTCGGCTACTCTCAGTGCCCTGTCTATGGGCTAGCCCTGCTCTGCAAGGAGCCGTCACACAAATAACATATTAAAAGTAATAAGGATACTCTCTTCCCCCAAAGATTCCCATTGTTCCTCAAGGGAATGAAAGAAGTAAGCCAGAAAATCTTCCCAATACTTTGGTTTGAGAGGATGAGCCACCTCTGGGTTCTTCCACTCTTCTCCGGGACAATAAACAGGGCAGCTCTCTGGGCTGGAAAAGTGATCACCTCACTTCTCTGGGGAGTAGCCATCTCTAAGACATGCCCACATTGCCATAACTGAAGTGCTGATATCGGGAGAGGTGTGGAGGGCAGGGGGGCAGGGGAGAAGGACTGGTGAGTAGGAGCACCCTTTGGTCTTGCTTACGGGTTCCTAACAAGGTACCACTTTTGATAGCCCCAGGTTCTCAGATTGCCAAAGGTGAGCAACAGAGGGCCCACGGGGGCGGTCAGTGGCCAGGAAGGAGGAACAATGGCCTCCAAGGTGCTGCTGGGAGGAAAGCTAATCACTCATCCCCCACTAGCTTATCAGAGACCGGGAATGACTTGAAAGAGCTGTCACCTGGTGCTGTGAGACACAGCCGACGCCCAGAGAGTCAATGAGGCAGCGTCCAAGCCACTCGTCAGGACGGGCACTGAGAATGTCACCTCGGCAGCCATCCAGATGTGGCCGCAGACGAAGCAGGAGACTCCGTGACAACAGGTAGCCAAAGCCCCCATGACAGTACCGGGCCTGCTCGCCTGCGCCAATGAACTCCTCCGCCCGGCCTAAGTACAGGTCTTGGTTGATGCTAAGGTGGCCAGCAAGGGCTGCCAGGCGGGGGGCCTGCACATATGTGTCATCCTGCATGATGAAGAACCAGTCGTAGTCAGCCCCAAAGTGCGTGTGAAGGTGGCGCAGGGTCTCTGACATGAGCCAGGCGGGCCGCTCATCCCCATGAGACACCACCTGCATCCCTGCTGGAGCCCGGGCCCCCCGCTGCCCAGTGAAGTAGAGTAACCGAGGGAAGTGATGGGCCACTGTACGGTTCACAGCCACGGCCAAAGTGGACAGTGTAGCTCGGGAGGTCAGAACAGCCACCAGCAACCGCTCACGGGAGCCCAGCTCTGTCTGGATGTACCGAGTCCTGTGGAGAGACCGGTGTGCCAGGGGTCAACTCCCTAATCTTTAGGAACCCAGCTTATTCAGTATATACATCCCCCTCTAGAAGTGAGTGAGCTGAGGCTGAGAAGGGAGAAACCTCCTTCCTTGTCAATATTAATTAGGTACTCAACTGAGTATCCACTAAGTAGCTGACATTGGAATTGATTTGGGAAGGGAGGGTGTCTACTATGGATAGACTAGATAGGTTAGATGCAATTCCTACTCTGTTCAAGAACATCGAACCCTGGCCGGGCGCGGTAGCTCACGCCTGTAATCCCAGCACTTTGGGAGGCCAAGGCGGGCGGATCACCTGAGGTCAGGAGTTCAAGACCAGCCTGACCAACATGAAGAAACTCCGTCTCCACTAAAAATACAAAATTATCTGGGCACGGTGGTATGCGCCTGTAATACCGGCTACTCAGGAGGCTGAGGCAGGGGAATCACTTGAACCCGGGAGACAGAGGTTGCAGTGAGCCAATATTGCACCACTGCACTCCAGCCTGGGCGACAAGAGCAAGATTCCATCTCAAAACAAAACAAAAAAACACAAACAAACAAAAAACATTGAACCCTAATTTAACACCAATGAATGTGAGACTTTCTAAGACCTGAGAAGGAGGGAAAATACAGGAAGAAACCATGATGGAAAATAAGCCAGAATTGCTCCAAGTTGCCTGACGCGGATTGCCAGCAGAAAGGCAGCGGCAAGGATTTACACCAGCCCAAAACAGGGCCAGTGTCTGGGGACTATGCATACATGTTGCTCTCACCTGAGCACCTTCTTGTAGGGCTTGTTGGGGTCCCTGTAGTAGGGGACAATCCGGGGTTTGAAGTCTTCATCACTTTGGTCTAGCCAAGCTCTCGAATCTGGATTCTGTGGCCCTCCTCGCTCCCCCACAGCCTCGACACAGGGATCTTCTCCCTCCCCTTGGATCCAGGAAACCCTCAGGAGGCTCAGGCTGCACCCCAGAGACAGCCCTAGGATGAGGGGAAGCGCTGGCCGCAGCAGGGCCAACAGGGAGCTCAGCCGCATGGTGGTAGGCCCTGCCAGGTGGGTGCCCAGGGGCACAGCCCCAAGAATCAATGGATTGATGGGTACCAGGCCAGTAGTAGGCTTGCAGTTTTAACCAGGGAACCTGGGGTCAGTGAGGCCAATGACAGAGCAAGGCCTGAGGGCTTCCAGGCCCAGCATCCCCAAGAAGATTGTCCTGTCTTCACAACTCCTTCTGCCTGCTCTTCAAAGGTGAAGGTGTCAGATCTAACCCCCAGCCAAAACGGTAATAAATGTAACAATCAAAGTCACTCACACTGGGATTATGGTCTGTCTTCCACTAGAAAGAGGAGGAAGTAAAACTCAATACTGCCAAAGCTAACCCAAAAAGGAGCACTACACACATCTGCAGACTGGGCCTAAGTCAACAGATGACAGCAAGTGATAAGTGGTTAGGGAAAAGCACACGATCCATCAAAACAACAGCCCTCAAACAGAGGAGCCGGAGCATGCCTCTGGCACCGGTTCTCAGGCGGGCTACTGCGGCAGGCCCGGCGGGCACAAGGGAAGGGGTCAGAGCCTCTTTCTACTCTGCTCCCTGCGTGTGAGGAGACGCAATGGCTACAGGAAAGCGGTCAGGAGCCACTCGCATGGCACACACAAGTTCTGCCCACCCGAATGAGGTAGATCGGTGACTCAGTACTGACAGCCTCTCAGGAGCGCCATGGCCGATGGAGCCATCTTGCAGGGCATTCTCCTCGGAACCCCAGCTGCTGAGGAGACAGCAGGCACGGACTGGAACTCCTACTGTGTGCAAGCGATTCGGTGCCTGGTTTTACCAAGGCCCCAGGGGGCAAACGAAACAAACCAAAAGCAAACAGAGGACAAGCAGCAACTAGAGACAACGCCAGGGTCCTGGGAACGCAAAGAGAAGCGCGGCCGGCTTCCGACAGGACCCCTGCCGGGGTCCCAGAGCCCCTGCTCTACCTCTCGGCGATCAGAGACCAAATCTAGCCCTAGAACGAAAGCCCAACGCGAGTCTTCGCCGTTCGTCTCAAAACAGAAACTGGCCACGTCACCGGGCTGCTAGGAAGGGGGCTCGGGAGTCCAGCTCAGGTCGTTCTGCGAGTAGGGGTCGGAGGTCGCGGCTGGGAGACTGGGGCACAGACCTCGTTCTCGGGCCCGTCGGCGGGAGCGGAGGCCGCGCCAGAGACAGCACCGAGGCAGCGAGCGCAGGACCAGGAGGGATGCCCAAGGCCCTCGGGGAGGGGGCCCGGGTTTCAGGGCCCGGGGCCGGCGGACGCCGGATGAAGGACGGCCAGGGGCTCCCGGCGTCCAGGGAAGGGGCGGGGCGGAGACGTGGGGACCAAGAGCGGCGTCCCACACGCGCCTGGCAGGGAGCAGGGACGGGGAAGGGGGAACAGACCCCAGTTCCCGCTGAGGCGCCGGCTCCGCCGCTGCAGCCGCTGCCACCTCACAGCCCCTGTCCGCAGCTTCCTCTTCCGCTGCCTGTCAGTCACCCGTCTCTATGGTGACCGCATCCGGCCGCTCGCTCCGCCCGCGCGCTCTCTATGGTCGCTCCCACGGCTTAACCGCACAGCGCATAGCAGTCTCGGCCAGGATGCGGGCTACCTGGCCCCAGCCGGCAGCCCGTCAGTAAGACGCGTGCGCCCCCACAAAGGCGAATCCAGGCAAATCCAGAGTGGACCAAAGCTGCCCCGTAGCTTGGGCTGAACCCTATCAGTCCTGGAAAAAGCATACCCCCACCCTCGAGAGCGCTTTTCTCCCAATTGGCTGGGGAATCCCATCAGCCTTTCAGTTGCCTAAGAAATGTTTGTTGTTTGCCAGACACGTACCTAAGTTCCGGGCATCTTCGTGAGTGCTGGGTAAACAAGTAGTGGACGAGATGGGCATGGTCCCTGCTCTCAGGGAACTGTAAGTTGAGGGAGACAGGTAATAAACACACTTGACATAGCAAGAATAAAACAGGTAGAAATCCCAATCTGTGATAAGTACCATTGCAGAAAAGCACAGAGTCCTGTGGAAAAACTAAACAGAAAGTATTAAATTAGATTGGGAATTTGGTAATGCTGAGGTCCAGAGGTTCAGGAAGAGTTATCCGGACATGAAGTGGACAGTTTTCCAGGCAAAGAAAAGAGCACCGGAATGTCCTGAGAGAAGAGATTGGCTTGGAGAAGAACTGGGAAGGTCCAGGGCATCTTAGAGCCTGGTGAGGGGAGAACAGCCCAAAGTAAGGCTGGGGAACAGGGGACAGGTAGGGCATTCGGACCACCACAGTGGTTCCCCAAACAGAATGGCACTCTCCCTAAGGAGCAATTTGGAAATGTACGGGGCAATTTTGTTGTCAAATGACTGGGGGAGAGGAGCCAAGGAGGCTCCCTGTCTTGCACATTGCAAGATAGTATCACACAAGAAAACTGTCCTGATCCCGCACAGCTTTCACATGTCCTACTGAACATTCATATAGGTTAAAACAAAAAAAAAAAAAAGGAAAACACTGGTTATAATCATCTGATGTGCCTGTGTCTTATATACAAAAACAAAGTAATCTTGTAGGGGTGTGAAATGTGCTGAATTTTTAAGGAATGTAACCACCATGTTAACAGAAGGAAGATTATACTTTGTTGTGTTCAGGAATTTATTCGGAGTTACCATTTTGGAGAAATGTGTCACTGATAGCAGTGTTATTCATAGCGTTAGGTCTGCATGTCTGCATTTGCACTGCCACAATCAAGGTGCTCCTATGCATAAATACAAGCATCTGACTAATTATGCTTTCTAGCATACTGAAATAAAAGTATTATCTTATTATAAAGGATTTCCTTTATTTCTTCCTTTTTTTTTTTTTTTTTTTTTTGAGACAGAGTCTCGCTCTGCCGCCCAGGCTGGAGTGCAGTGGCGTGATCTTGGCTCACTGCAAGCTCTGCCTCCCGGGTTCACGCCATTCTCCTGCCTCAGCCTCCCGAGTAGCTGGGACTACAGGCGCCCGCCACCTCGCCCGGCTAGTTTTTTTGTATTTTTTAGTAGAGACGGGGTTTCACTGTGTCAGCCAGGATGGTCTCGATCTCCTGACCTCGTGATCCGCCCGTCTCGGCCTCCCAAAGTGCTGGGATTACAGGCTTGAGCCACCGCGCCCGGCCTATTTCTTCTTTCTGCTTTGATTCAGACACTATAATTTTTTTGAAATTATGTATGTAGTTAGGCTATACCATCTATAAACTTCATTTCAAAATAGTAAATGGGGAGTTGTAAAAATGTTATTAAAATGCAACATTGGGGCTGGTAAAGTTAAGAACCACTCAAGAACATCTTGTATGTATATCTTATATATATACCATTCTAGGAGTATATAAGATAGAACTCACTGATATATTGCCTATCAGCACGTGTTATCCCTGTTTTAGTCTCATCCTTAGACTGCAACTGAATCTTTTCTCATCAGTTGGCACATGGTAGGTGGTAAATGACTTGCTGGAAGAGACTCTGGGAAACAGCAGAGACACTTAGCTCAAGGTCAGAAGATTTCTAGACCAGCGCTGTCCAGTAGAAATCTAGTGCAAGCCACAAATGTGAGCCATATATGTTGTTTAAAATTTTTTAGTAACCACATTTTTTAGAGTTAAAAAAGGTAAAATTAATTTTAATATTTTATTGTATTATTAAATATATCCAAATCATTTCAACATGTAGTCAATATGAAAAATTATTGATGAGATATTTTACATTTTTTATGCAGAATATTTGAAATCTGATGTGTATTTTACACTTAACAGCAAATCTCAATTCAGACTAGCCACATTTCAAGTGCTCCATAGCCACGTATGGCTGGAGGCTACCATATTCAACAGTGCAGGTCCAGATCCTTTTCAGTTACTAAGTTCCTAGGTAATTCTCCAAGAGACATTTCCTTCCTTGGGTCTCCATTTCTTCGTAATTTAAACAGAATCTAAGCCAAATGTTCTTGTTTCCAGCACTGACCCGCTGTGATTTTTTTCAAATTTAGCCAGTCCTTTTCTTATCTCTCTTTACTCATCTCCTTTTCTCCCCCATTTTCCATTTCTCTTTCCCTATTTCTTCTCCCCTCATCCCAAGTTCTTTTCTCTGGCTAAACCCAGGGCGGGGTGGGCAGGGGGAGGGATGGTGGCTCACACCTGTAATACCAGCATTTCAGGAGGTTGAGGCAGGAGGATCTCTTGAGCCCATGAGTTTGAGCCCAGCCTGGGCAGCATAGGACGACACAATCTCTATAAGAAAATTTTAAAATTGTAGCCAGGTGCAGTGGCTCATGCCTGGGATTGTAATCCCAGCACTTTGGGAGGCCAAAGTGACTTTGGCAGATCGTTTGAACCCAGGAGTTCCAGACCAGCCTGGGCAACATGGCAAAACCTCATCTCTGGGAAAAAAAAAAAAAAAACACACACACACAAAAATTAGCCAGGCATGGTGGTACTTGTCTGCAGTCCCAGCTACTTGGGAGGCCAACATGGGAGGATCGCTTGAGCCCAGGAGGTTGAGGTTGCAGTGAGCCATGATCACTCCACTGTACTCCAGCCTAGGCAACAGAGCTGCCCAGAGCTGCTTGTCACCTTAGTTTCCTAATCTGTAAAATGGTAATAATACTCACCTCAGAGTTTGTTGGCGGTGGGGGGAGGGGGGAAGGTTAATGTGATGGCATAAATGAAAGAGCATAATAAATATTGTTGTCTGTAAACCACATTTTTAAATGAGGCTGGGAAAGGAGAAGCATATTTCTCCCAGGACGCACAGGCACTTGAATCTGTGTTTTTTGTTGTGTTTTGTTTTTTGAGACAGGGTCTTGCTCTGTCACCCAGGTTGGAGTGCAGTGGTACAATCTTAGCTTGCTGCAACCTCGACCTTCTGGGTAACTGGAACCACAGGTGTGTGCTACCACGCCTGGCTAATTTTTGTTTTTTTGTTTTTTTTTTTTAATAGAGATAGGGCTTTGCCATGTTGCCGAGGCTGGTCTTGAACTCCTGAGCTCAAAACATCCACCTACCTCC